TTTATGTGTATGACTGTATTGCCTGCATGTATATGAGTGCACCCATGTTGTGCAATGCCACGGAGGTCAGAAGAGGGCTTCAAATTCCCCTTGAACCGGGGTTAAGGATGGTTCGTAACTGCCATGTGGGTGCTGGGAATTGAACCCGGGTCCTCCGCAAGAGCGGTCAGTGCTCTTAACCGCTGAGCCATCTCTCCAGCCCCTTCCCCTATTCTTTTCTCAAATATTAATATGCTAATGTCGCTACTCAGCTTTCTGAGTTACTTTTCACAGCTATGGAATAGTCTTCATAGTACAGCATTACCTATCAGGTACACGTGCTACTTTATTATTAGCGCTCACACGAGAAAGATTTTTGTTTGCTTGTTTGTTTGTGTGTTTGAGATAAGGTTTTACTATGTAGCCTTGGTAGCCTGGGATTCCCTATGTAGACTAGGATGGTCTCGATTTCACAGAGATCTGCCTGCCGTTGTCTCCCAAGTACTGGGATTAAAGGTGTTTACCACCACACCTGGCTAGAAAGATTTTTGTTTTTTTTTTTTAAAACTTTTTATTTTATGTCTATGAATGTATTGCCTGAATGAATATACATAGATGCCCACATCATGCAATGCCCGAGGAGGACAGAAGAGGGCATCCCCTGGAACTGGGGTTACGGATGGTTGTTAGCCACTATGTAGGTGCTGGGAATTGAACCTGGGTCCTCTGCAAGAGCAGCCAGTGCTCTTAACTGTTGAGCCATCTCTCCAGCCCCTAAAAAGGTTTTATTTTATTTTTGAAATTTTTCATGTGCGAGAGTATCGCCTGCATGTATATAAGTGTATCCATGTTGTGCAATGCCTGTGGTGAGAGGAGAACATCAGATTCCCCTGGAACTGGAGTTATGGACGGCTGTTAGCCACCATGTGGGTGCTGAGAAACGAACCTGGGTCCTTGGCAAGAGCAGGACCCAGATGCTGAACCATCTCTCCAGTCCCATAGAATTTTTTTTAATGTTAGTTTGAGGTGCTGGAGAAATGGCTCAATGGTTAAGAGCATTGACTGGACCCATGTGGTAGCTAACAATCATTCATAATTCCAGCTCCAGAAGATCCCAATACCATCTTCTGACCTCTGTGAGCACTACATGACATAGATGCACCTACATACATGTGTGCAATGCACTCATACACATGAAATTAAATAAAAATAATAAATACAAAATTTTTTAGAATGTTTGAATAGTTGCTAAAATATCGAAATGTAGTTTGCTTATAGCAATCCTGTGTAAAAATGGAACTGGCACTGGGCGTGGTGGTGCACTCCTTTAGTCCCAGCACTTGGGAGGCAGAAGCAGGCAGATCTCTGTGAGTTCAAGGCCAATCTGATCTACATAGCGAGTTCCAGGCCAGCTGGAGCTACAGGGAGACCCTGTCTCAAAAAACAAAAACAAAAACAAAACAAAAAAATGGAACTGGCATCAAATTATTATTATCTCCTAAATATTATATAAAAAGTCAAAGACAGGCTTAGAGTACATTATTTTGAGGTTCGTTTTATACTTCTTATCTGAGATTTTTTTTTGTGTATACAGAAGTAAAGCCAGTTTAATAAACCCCAGTTTGCCAGGCATGGTTGTGCACGCCTTTAATCCCAGCACTTGAGAGGCAGAGGCAGGTGGAGCTCTATAAATTCGAGGCCAGACTGGTCTACAGAGTGAATTCTAGGCCAGCTGAGGAAGACTAAACCAAATCGAAACAAAACAAAATAAAACCCTAGATAATCAGCAATCACTTTAAACAACTATCCACTCCTAGTCTCTCTTTCTCACTCTTAAGATAGTCTCACTATGTAACCCTGGCTGGCCTGGAACTCATTATGTATTATGTCAGGCTGGCATGGACTCACAGAGATCTGCTTGCCTCTGCCTTCCGAGTGCTAGGATTAAAGGCTGCACCACCATCCCTGCCTCTCACAGTTTCATTTTGTTCCTAATTCCACTCAGTGTCTCTCTACCTCCCCGTACTCTACTCCTTACAAATTTGAAAACTTAAAGCAAGAATTGGCCATAGAAGATGGCAACAAGATGTAAAAGAGACCTGGGGCTTTGGATCTAGATGTGTGGGTTCAAACTGGCTCTGTCCCTCTCAGTTCTAGACCTAAGGACAATGGAATCAGCCTTTAGAGCCCTTTTCATTTTGAATGTGGGAATGATCATGTCCACCTGTTAGGATTAATAGGCTCCTTAGGTAAAGTACAAATTGAGTGCCTACCCAGGGCTTGTTAGGCACTAGTAACAACAAAAGACTGAACCTGTCCCTGTTGTCAAGGAAGTAGAATTCTGCAACTGGAGCTTCGTTGCTCTGGAGTATTCTTGCATGAAATTTGATAATAGCTGCCTGGAGCAGTTTTCTTATTTGTTTATGTGAGATAGGGTCTCATTCTGTAGCCCAGGCTAGCCCGGGACTCGAGGTGATCCTCCTCCTACCTCAGCCTTCCAAGTCCTAGGATTGCAAGCATGAACCATCACGCTTGCCTCTCGGTCTAGATCAATTTGACAGTGGTTCAAATGCTTCCATTGCAATTCAGTGGAAAACTGTGAACTTGATTAGTGATGTCTGGCATGGAGTTTGGACTGAGGAACAGAAGCTGGTACTGAGGAGCCCACTATAAACACCTGATATGGAGTAGATGCATTTAGTGCATTGAAGTGTATGCAGGGGGAAATGATATGGTCCTAGACAAGCAACTACTAGAATTTCGTCATTGGGAAGGCACACATTTGGTCTGAACTGTGGTAAAGGTCAGATTTATGACAGAGGTGTGTTCCTCTCACTTTCAGATCTGCATTCAAGACCTCATCTCCCCTATCAACGTCTCCCTGAATTTCTCTCTTTTGGAGGAAGAAGGGACACCGAGGGACCAAGATGTGGTAAGGAGAGATCAGCTGGAGGCATTGATGTGTGACAGGAAGAGTAGAATGTCCATTTAGCAGCTAGTAGTTGTGTTTGTAGCATGGCATTCTGATTGTCAGCAACAGAAGCTAAATATGTCTTAAGCAGGAAGGGAATTCGTGGGGGTTTGTGTTTGACAGAACTTTGGAGAGAAGGGGAGCTGTGATGGTGGCTCTGGGGCTCTCAGTGGATTCTCTAGAGTCCCTTCAGTGAACCTGTTCCAGGACCCTGGTAGGCATCAGCTCCAACCACACCAACTTCTAACACTGCTCAACATGCACACTTCAGGAGAGAACTTCAAATCCCAGCTTTGGGCCTGGGCCTGTTCCTTGGTGTAAAGACAAGGTACCTCAGTTAGCCTTCTCTCTCGTGTGCTTTCAATTCAATGCTAAATTGGGGTGCTATGAAACTAATTGGGAAAAAAATCTATCCCAGCTTCCAAGACCTAACGCTCCCTATCCAGTGCCAAAAGTGTGATGTCCTCTTTTGAAATTCTTGGCACTCAGCAGGTGGTTGGGCAGGTTGGAGGCAGCAGGGTCTGGAAGCATGAATGTGTGGACTTCTTTTGCAGCGCAGCCTGAGTGGCCTCTGTCCCCATCCCCTGCCTGGGACTGTTTTCTACCTGTGCTGAGAGTCTCATCTCTGGGAGGCTCTTCTAGAGGAGTCCTGTGTGGTGACCACTGAACACAGGCTGCTGTGCCCTTGCACATGCAGTGAGTTGCACCCTGCTTCTCACCCTCATACTCCCTGTCCTGAGATTTGAAGGTCAGAGCAGTGCACTTAGCAGAAATAAGCATTGTGTTCCCACCTCTCTTCGTGCCTTTGAGCAAAGCTGACTAAGCCCCATCTGTGCTGAGTCAGCTCTGGGCACTGGTTCTGTAGCTGTTCATAAGCATGAGCTGGGAGAACTCACAGGCCGCTGCAGAGAAGCCAGGGTTACAGCGCACTATGGTGCTGCCACAGGCAAGTTAGGCACAGGGCAGCAGTGGTCTGTGCCAAAGATCTGAGGGGTAAGGCGAGTCTGCCCCTGGAGGTGACCCGGAAGTCCCCAGGTGGAGGAGAGGCTGGTGTTCAGAGGCCATAATGTGGCAGAGGCATAAAGACACTAGAGACTGTGGAGTGATGGTCACACAAAGTGAGAGGAAGGTGGGGACAGATGGACTTAGGGTCTAGCTGTGGAGATGTCAAAGAATTTTTATGTGGAGGAAGGAAGTTTATTCCTGAGCTTTTATAAATTAAGTTTCAGAACCCTAACTTCCCTGACTTAGGAGACTGACTCTGAGATCAAGGCCACGGCCTGGCTTCGTGTGTGTTCCATTGAGGTACTGGTCTACATAGTGAGTTCTAGGCCAGCCTCGTCTACACAGAAACCTCCAAGCCAGCCAGGGCTACATAGTGAGACCATATCTGGAACAAAAAAAGGTTTTGTTTTACTACATTAATTAGTTGTGTGTCCATATTCCATAGCCATTAAAAATATACCACGGAGCGTAAGTGGAGATCAGAGGACAACTTGTGGGAGTTGGCTCTCTCCATCCATCATGTGGGTCCCTCAGGTTGTCAGGTTGACAGCAAGCACCTTTACTACTGAGTCATTTCACTGGCCCCAAAAGTGATTTTTTTTTTTCAAGAAGAGTTTTTATTTTAATTTTAATTAAAAAAAATTTTATGTGTATGCATATATTGTCTGCATGTATGTAAGTGTATCTGTGTCATGCAATGCCCATGGAGGACAGAAGAGGCCATCAGATCCCCTGAAACTGGAGTTACAGACAGTTGTTAACTGCCATATGGGTGCTGGGATTCGAACCTGGGTCTTCTGCAAGAACAGTCAGTGTTCTTAACCACTGAGCCATCTCTCCAGCCCCCAAAACTGACTTTTTAAGAGTCTTTCTTTCTCCTGTAAAAGACAAGCAGATGCTGGTATGGTTTGAGTAATTCTGAATCAGGTCGACAGGTTGTCTGGAAAGAACCAAAGAGTACATGCTTTTGGTTTTGTGGACTGTGCAGTTTCTGTGGCAGCTACATTGTGCACACAAAGATGACAGTTTGGCCTCCAGCCATCATGTCTGTGCCTTGCCAAGCAGCATAGAGGAAACAAACACACTCATCTTCCCTTGAAGAATATTTTCTAAAAATCTATATAACATAGCCAGACATGGTGGCACACACTTTTAATCCCAGCACTCAGAAAGCAGAGGCAGGTGGATCTCTGTGAGTTCAAGGCCAGCCTGGTCTACATAGTGAGTTCTAGGACAGCTGGGGCTACAGGGAAACCCTGTCTCAAAAAGACCAAAAAAAAAAAAAAATCTATGTAACAGTTTTCTATACATCTCATTGGTCAGAACTTAGTCACATGATCGCACTGTAAGAAAGGCTAAAGAAAGCAATCTCTTGACTGCATTAGCTTGACCACCCGGCAAAAAAGTGGAAACTTTTTTTAAAGGCAAGAGGTGAGGAAGTCCATGCGGGGACAGCCTGAGTCTCTACCACAGGCTCCTATTAAAAGCCAAATCTTGAGGTACAAAAAAATCAGGAAAAGACCTGGAGTTACAGTTAAAGTCAAAAAAGATTTTCTGGAAAATGCCATTGGTTCTGGGCTTTACAAAATGAATGGGTTAGGTAGAGGTTGGGGGTAGATGTACACTGATAAAGTCAAGAAAAATGGGGACATTGAGCTTGCTTCTTTCAGAAAGACAGCTGAGAGAGTTCAAGGCCCTGGACAGACATTTGGCCCACGGCCCAGTGGATAGTGGGGATCTGTGTGAATGTTGAGGGTAGGTGGGGAGCAGTCAGCAGAGACCACCAGGACTAACCCTTTATGGAAGAATCTGGAGGCTGACAGGTGGCCTGAGGGTTGGAGGCTGGAGGCTTTCTAGAAGGTACAGCTATAACAACCCACGAAGTCCTTCCAAGGCTCCATTACCCTTCACATCAAGTCTCAGAGTCTTAGTCCTTTCTCCAAGGGGGAAGAGGGGTTCTCAGAGGAGGACAGCAAAGAGCAGGTGAGGTCAGGTGCTGAGCAGGAGGAGATCCTGCCAAGGAAGGAACTGTGGGCTGCTTTGTCCCAGCTCAGATCTCCGTCGGTGGGAGGGAGAGGCATCCTAAGCTTCATCTTCCCTTTGGGAAGCTGTCACCAGGGGAGGACCACATGCCTGACTATGGGTGTGGGTAGAAGAGTAGGCAGACCACAGCATTCCACCTGAGTCCCTCTTGTCCCTTCACAAGACCTACTCACTCAGCTGAGCTCTCTATCTTCATTCTCCATGCTCAGCAGGACAGGAACATGCAACCCATCCTGGGACCCTCGCCACACTCAGAGACCAAAGAGGTAAGAGGGAGGAAGGGCAGAACCACAGGCCTGGGGTCCCTGGACTGTCCTGCCTTGTCTGGGCCCAAGCCTCCTGTCCCTTCTCCTTGGCCTTTCAGATCCCCTTTGAGAAGAACTGTGGTGAGGACAAGAAGTGTGAGGCAAACCTGGGGCTGTCGTCCCCTAACAGGTCTGGAAGCCTTTGTCCCTTGAGTCCTTCCTCAGTTCCACTCTGTTTTCTTGAGGCATCTAGAAAGAATACTGAGCTAGTGTCAAAAGACCCTGCACTCCCTGGATGTGTCCAGTAGGGAGGCCACTTAGCTTCCTTCTCTGAGAAAGGCAGTCGTTTACAGAGCTCTGGTGGGGATCAGATGCATCACAGAACTGGCAGCCTGAGCACAGGAGCTGATGTCTATGATCTGCCAGATCTCAGTTCTGAAGTCCCCATCAGATACTGTTTCCTGCATCTTGGCCCTATAACTTTTCTCTAACTCCCTACGATCCCCTAGATCCGTGGTCCTGCCTCTGACTTCCTCTGCCAGCCTTACTGTGGAGTGGATGCTGAGCAACTCAGGAGAAGATGCTTACTGGGTCCAACTGGGCCTGAGCTTCCCTCAAGGACTCTCTTTCCGAAAGGTGAAGGTGCTCAAGGTGAGCCTGAGGGTGGCACCTGCCTTCTGGCTTTCCTGTACTGTCTCCTACCCCCTCAGGGAGCCTTAGACAGCCTGGACGGCCTGAGTGGGTGGGCAGCTATGGGTGTGAAGGCTGGGAGGGTTGTATCTGCATTCCCAGCCTGATAGTGCTCATTAAACTCTGATCTGAGGAGACTGTGGCGATGGCTCAGTCAGGAGGTAAAGAGCTTATTTTGTACAGACGAGAACCTGAGTCTGATCCCCAATATCAGTTAAAAAGCTAGGCATAGTGACAGACCCTATAATCCCAGTGCTGGGGAGGTAGAAACAGGAGGATCTCTGACGTTGGTATGGCCAGGCAGCCTAGCCTCGCTGACTTGGTGAACTCAAGCCAACTGAAAGAGAGAGAGAGAGAGAGAGAGAGAGAGAGAGAGAGAGAGAGAGAGGGAGGGAGGGAGGGAGGGAGAGAGAGAAGAGAAAGGAAAGAAAGGGAGAAAAGAGGACAACTCCTGAGGAACAGCATGGAAGCGGACCTCTGGCCTCTACAGGAGCACCCTGCCACACACACCACACACACACACACACACACCACACACACACACACCACACACACACACACACACACCACACACACACACACCACACACACACATACACGCACCATACACATAAACACACATACACATACACACACACATACACATACACACACACATACACATACACACACACCACACACAACACACACCACACATACACACACCACACACCACACACACCACACACACACATACATACACACCACACACACCACACACACATACACACATATACACAAACATACATACACACATACACACTCATACACCACACACACATACACACACACACCACACACACACACCATACACACTACACACACATACACATACACACGCACATACACACCACACACATACACATACACACCACACACACATACACACACATACACACAACACACAACACACCCACAACACACACCACACACACCACACACACACTACACACACATACACACCACACATACACACCACACACACCACACACACACATACACATACCACACACACACACACACACAACACACATACACACCACACACACACACACCACACACACATACACACACACACCACACACACAGACACATACACACCACATACACATACACACACACCACACACACATACACACCACACACACACACACACACACACAGTGAGGATGAGGACACCTATAGGGTTAGTGAGTGAGTCATATGGAAAGAGACACATGAAAAAGATGCTGGGGGGTTCTGGAGAAATGGCTCAGTGTTTAAGAGCACTGACTGCTCTTCCAGAAGACCTGGGTTTAATTCCCAACACCCACATGGCAGCTGATGACCATCCATAACTCCAGTTTCAGGGGATCTGACTCCCTCCTCTAACCTCCATGGGCACCACACCACATGGTTAGACTTATACACATGCAGGCAATAACTCATAAAATAAAAATAATAGCCAGGTATGGTGGCTCACGCCTTTAATCCCAGCACTTGGGAGGCAGAGGCAGGCAGATCTCTGTGAGTTCAAAGGCAGCCTGGTCTACATAGTGAGCTCCAGGACAGCTGGAGCTACAGGGGACTCAGTCTCAAAAAGACCAAAAAAATAAAATAAAATAAAATATTTTTTAAAAAAGAAAAGAAAGAGGCACCGGGGTTAAGTCCCTACTAAACTTGCTGACGTGAATTTGTATTCGTCAGAGAGATGGACACAGTCTGTTTGGACAGCATCCTAGATGTTTTGGATACAAGTTTTAGAAAATGTAACTTAGTTGGTAGAGTGCTTGCCTAGCATGCAGGAAGCCCTGTGTTCCTCCAGTCCTCATCACTGAATAAAACTGGGCAGGGTGGTACATACCTCTAATCCCAGTTCTGAGGAGGAGGGTCAGAAGTTCAAGCTCATTGTTGGTTGCATAGTTAGGGGCCAGTCTGGCATACATGAGACCCTTTCTCTAAAAAGATAGAGCTTTCATTTTTCAAATACTCTTTTTAAATCATACATAATCATCGTAGAAACTTCAAAATTATGGGGGCTGGAGAGATGTCTCAGTGGTTAAGAACACTTGACTGCATCTGCAAAGGACCTGGGTTTAATTCCCAGCATCCACATGGTCCATAACTCCAGTTCCAGGTGATCCGACACCCTCTTCTGACCTCTGCAGGCACTGCATGACACAGACACACTTACATGCATACAGGCAATATACTCACACACATAAAATAAAAATAATAAATAAAATATTTTTTTAAAAAAGAAATTTCAAAATTATAGAGATGTTCACACAACTCAGCTATTGCTACATTCATTTATTTATTTTATGTTTTACATTTTTATTTATTTATTTGTTTGTTTGTTTATTTATTTATTTATTTATTTATTTATTTTGGTCTTTTGAGACAGGGTTTCCCTAACTCCAGCTGACCTGGAACTCGCTATGTAGACCAGGCTGACCTTGAATTTACAGAGATTCGCCTGCCTCTGCCTCCTGAGTGCTGGGATTAAAGGCGTGCGCCATCATGGCTGGCCTATGTTTCAATTAAAATTTTTTTTATTACATTTATTTATTTTCTGTGTATACACATGTGGAATCACATGTGTGCAAATGTACATGTGCCATTGTACACATGTGGAGGTCAGAGGACAACTTGCAAGAGTAAGTTCTCCCACCCTGTGGGTCCTGAGGCTTAAACTCATGAGGCTTGTGAGTAGGCACCTTTACTTGCTGAGCTATCTCACCCACCCTCTTTTAATTTTTTTATTGTGGTAGATATATTTTTAGCATTCTAATCATTCCTTGGCATACCATTCACGGCACTGAGTCTGTTCACATTGTTGTACAACTATCACCACTATCTGTAGAACTTTTACACCACCTCATGTCCATTAAGCAGTGAGTCCCCATTCCCCTGTCTTCTCCACTCCCATCCCTTCTCATCTGCTTTCTATTTCTGTGAATTTACATCTTCTAGACCATTCATATCAATAACTCTTGATATTTGACCTATTCATCTGACTTATTTCACTTCACATACTTTTTGTTTCGTTTTGCTTTGCTTTGCTTTGTTTGGGATTTCACCTGCCTCAGTGTCCTGAATAACAGAGACTACAGGCATGCACCACTGTGGCCATCTGTGCCTCTGACTCTTTGACCCTACCTCTCTCAGCATGTACCATGACAGGACAGAGTCCTGGAAGCCACAGACCCTGAGAGTTCATGGCCCCTGGGGGACCCTGGGCCTTGTCCACTAGCAAACTTCCTCTCTCCTTACTCGCAGCCGCACAGCCAGATACCTCTGAGCTGTGAGGAGCTTACTGAGGAGTCAAGACTCCAGACGAAGACCCTGGCATGCAATGTGAGCGCTCCCATCTTCAGAGCAGGCCGATCGGTGAGTGTCGTGTATCTCTGCCACTTCAGAGCCTCAGTTTTCTTACCTGCCCAATGGGGATGAAATGCTTACCCAGTGCCAGGATATAGAGCTCTCCCTCTGGTCGTTGCAGTCCCGATGACCAGGCTGGGGCCGTGAAGACCTGAAGCTACTCCTGAGGCACCTCAGTCTTCTTTCCCTCTCCTTCCCTGCCAGGTCACCATCCAGGTGGTGTTTAATACACTGTTGAATAGCTCCTGGGAGGATTTTGTTGAGCTGAATGCTACTGTGCACTGGTGAGCCGGCCCATCCACATTGCTGTGTTGGGGTTAGAGTGCCAGGAAGGCTGGCCACACCCATCTAACCGTGTCTTCTGTCCTGCTCTGTCCAGTGAGAATGAGGACCCCAGCCTCCTGAAGGACAATTCAGCCACCACCCGCATCCCTGTCCTGTTCCCAGTCAACATCCTTATTGAGGAGTGAGTGCTGCTGAGCCAAGTCAACCCTTCTTTCCACCTCAGCCTCCCTATTTGGGTGTCCTCACCCCTTGGGGCTTCCACTACTGGTCCCCTTCCTGTTCTAGAGCTTCCCAGGTTTAGTGAGAACTAATCCAAGTTGCCACAACAGGCTTCAGGCCTCCAAACTAGGAGACCCTTTAAGAGTGCTGAATCAGGTGAGCATTCACCAGTGGAAGGAGCAGCACACTATTGACTGGCTGGTTGCAGCCTGTCTCTGGAACTTGCCTTGCCTCTGCAAGGAGCTGCACTTCTCTTCGCCCTACTGATGAACACAGGGACAGCGGGCCCAGGGGCATGCAGCTAAGATGGACTGAAGGCAGGGTTTCCACTCAAGTCTCTTTGACTCCAGAGCTCTTGGCAGTGCCCAGTTGTTCTAGATTCTCTCCCTTCCTGGGCCTGCAGTACTAGACAAGAGGGAAGGACCGTCCCCACGATGGCCCTTGCCCTCCAGGAGCTTACTGTCTGGTTAAAGCAAACCCACTCACACGGTCAGCACTCAGCATGCTGCAGCAGGACTCTCGGGGTCTCTAGGTGCACGCCCTAGCTACTGTACAGAGAAGGAAGCTAAGAAAGCAGAGGCTTTTTGAAGTTGGCTCTGCGAGACAAGGTCTGAACTCGGGTGTCTAGTGCTTTTGAACATAAATGTCTTGCAGGATGTGGTTGATATGAAAGATCACAGCAGGGTGAAAGACGGAAGGATTCATGGAGAACGTGGGCCTTGGGCTAGGGTCTGGAGGCAGTGGGATGAAGGCCAGGAAAGGAAGCAGAGAGCAGAGCATAGGTGAACACAAGGAGGCAGGATGCAGGCCAGGGCGGGGAACCAGGTGGGCACCTCCAACACGGCTGGAGAGCAGTGGGAAGGTGGTCTGGGTGCGAAGGGCTTGGGCCTCTGATCCTTGTGGGTAGCAGCCAGGAGCCAGGAGGGTTCTGAGCAGGTGAGCTTTGGGATGAGACGATCTCAGGGCAGAGGACAGAGGGCACTAGAAGGCTAGGTGGGGGAGGTGGCCTTAGAGGACAAGCAGAGCCCAGGGGACAGTGGAGACACTGGAGAGGTGACATGTGGTGACAAGGATAAGGCCCCCAGGGCATGACCCTGACTTGGAGGTTCCAGTCTTGTCCCTCTACTGGCCTTAGTTTCCAAAGGACTCAATGACAGAGTGTCTGTGAGGTCCCCAGCTATGCTGGAGGCTCAGAGGCTTCTTGGAGTCTGAACTGCATCTCCCCCACTTTCCATCCCTCTGCGCATCTCCACAGCCAGGAGAACTCCACTCTCTATATCAGCTTCACTCCCAAAGGCCCCAAGATCCAACAAGTCCAGCACATCTACCAGGTACTGACTTCCCTGGGGCCACACTTTCACTCAGGCCCATCAACTGCCCTGCCCTCTAGACCCATCCTTCCTAAGCACAGAGCTTCACAACTTCTATTCAGGGCCTCAGGGTTGTAGTTGTGGTATTACAGGTATGTACCACCACTCCTGGATTTAAAAGCTACCTTTTTTGAGGCCTATTGTGTGCTAGATGCTACACCAGGCAATAGAGAACCGGAGATGAAAATAAGCTATTGCTCCTGTCCTCAGAAGCGCAGTCTAGAGAAATTAGAGGCACACAGCACATAAGCAGCCCCTCTGCCATCCTGCTGGGGGTGGACAGAGTTCATCCTACAAGAGGGGGAGTGTCCTTTCTTTACGGAGTCAGCCAGACCTTCAGAGAGTCTGGGGCCAGGACCTTGCAGGAAGGCTCTGAGGACAGGGTCAGGTATGGTCCTTCATTACTTATTGTCTAGCAAATAGCAGGCATTAAGACTTAGCCAGAGCCTAGGACTCAGGTCACACAGGCTGGAGTGGCAGGCAGGGTAGCTGCCGTTCAGGCTCTGCAGTCTCCATCTCCTTTGCCAGGTGAGGATTCAGCCTTCTGCCTATGACCACAGTATGCCCACACTGGAGGCCTTGGTTAGAGTGCCACAGCTTCACAGCAACGGCCTCATTAAACACACATGGACTGTGCAGATGGTGAGTGCCACCCAGAAGGGGGGAGGGTGAGCTGGTCCAGGGTTCCGTGTATTGAACAACTACACTGAATTGCTGGGTGTGGGAGGGGAACATGGATGGATGGACAGATCTTAATTCCATAGACTCAGAGATGTCTTAATAAGTTACTTGTTATCTGGGGAGGGAGAGCTAGGGTGTCTGAGTTCTTCTGTGACCCCCCCACTACTAGACCCCCACCTCCAATTCCTAGGATCCTCCTGTCATCTGCTACCATGAGGACTTGAAGATGCCACCCAGTGCAGCTGAGGTATGGACATGTGAGCTGAGCAAGCAGACGGGGTGGACAGTGTGCAGGGGAAGGCAGGCTTCTTTGACCTCTATGTTCTTGACTCCAGGAGCCTTGTCTTCCTGGAGCCCAGTTCCGCTGCCCAATGGTCTTCAGGCAGGAGACCCTCATCCAAGTGATGGGGACTGTAGAGCTTCTGGAGGAGATCAAGGTAGCAGTGGTTGGGAACCCAGGTGCCTTAAGGAGTCGGGTGATGGGCTCTGCCCACACAGGCTCCCTCTGTTTTCCTATCTTCATGAAAAATCACCAGTTTACACAGTTGCATATGAAAAAAAAAAACAGGATATGTTTGAAGTTTGCAGGGTTGGTTTTGTGGGCCTATGGATAAGTTTGTTATTTGATTTTGAGATAGGGGCTTACTATGTAGTCCAGGATAACCTGTAACTTGTGATCTTCCTGCCTTGGTCTCCTGAATGCTGGGATTACAGGCCTGTGCCACCACACCTGGCTGCCAAGGATAGTTACAGTTGCTTGTAGGAAACCGTCCCTTCTGAAACCGAGTAACACCACAGAGAAAGGAGATGGGCAGTAAGGCAGACTGCCTTCAGGATTCACCTCCACCCACTCCTTTCCTGTGCACTGTACTGAGGTGGGCAGAAGTCTCTGTTCTCAGTCCTGCTCTGACTGACACTCCCTACCCTCCACAGGCTTCCTCTATGCTCAGCCTCTGCAGCTCACTCTCCATCTCCTTCAACAGCAGCAAGCATTTCTACCTGTATGGCAGCAAGGCCTCCACCGCCCAGGTATGCAACCCTCAGAAGCTCAAGAACAGGCAGAGAGGCTCAGGAACCCCACGCAGAACTCATGTGGGAGGGCCATATGGGAGAAGGGGTTTGATCCAAGTCCGAACCTCCCCGAAGCCAAAACCCCCTGCAGTGGGGAGGTCCCGCCTAACTCAAGAGTCAAGCTAGATACAGGATGATTTGTCTGAGATGAAAGGGACATCAGCCCAGCAGTTGGTCGGCAGAGAGAGCAGCAAGTACAGGGGCCCAGGGCTTCAGTCGGGCCAGCAGAGGGATCTAAAGAGACAAGTAGAGGCCAGGCATGGTAGTACATGCCTTTAATCCCAGTATTCAGAGGCAGAGGCAGAGGCAGGATCTCTATGAGTTCAAGGCTAGTCTGGCCTACATAGTCAGTTCCATGCCAGCTGGGGATACATAGAGAGACCCTGTCAAAAGAAAGAAACGATGAGAGAGAGGGGGGGGGAGGGAGGGAGGGAAGGGGAGGAATGGAGGGAGGAAGGAACCAGGTTCTGCGATGCCTAGCTGAGGTTGTAGTAGTCCCCCCTGGGGCCAATGGGAAACCATGTAAGTGGGTTGTGCTGGGTGTGGCCAAATCACTGGTGACTACAGTGGGTAATCCATTGGTCTATGGCCAGAGCCTGGTGCTGTGATGCAGCGCAAACAGATAAGATGGGATGTGTAGGATGGGAGGTCCTCTCCTGCATGCCTGGCTCTCCTCCCCAGGTCCTCATGAAGGTTGATGTGGTATATGAGAAGGAGATGCTCTATCTGTATGTGCTGAGTGGCATCGGGGGACTTCTGCTGCTGCTGCTGATTTTCCTAGCACTGTACAAGGTAGGAGCTTCCTGCTGACTAGGTGTTGGCAACACAGCTGGGGGCAATGGGGGGACACTGTGTAGGAACCAGAGAAGGAGAGTACCATACCAGGGAGTATGAGAGCCAGAACAGGCCTCAGCCTGCCCTATCCTTCTATAGACAAAACTGTAAGACCCAAAGAACAAGGGATAAGACTTTGCTATCACTCAGGCAAGCACTGGTCCAACCAAGGAGTAGGCTGGGAGAGGAAAGAGAAAGGAAGTATCCAAATATCAAGGGCCTCTGGTGCCAGGCACTGTACTAGACCCCCCTATATAGCACAAACATGGTTATCACCTGTATGGAGTCTACAGCCAAAAGAAGGGGAGACAGGAATAAGCATAATAAGTTCTACAATGGGTGGGTGTGCTGTGGACCTCGTGGTAGAGAGGCCTGACTTAGACTGGAGGGTTTGGAAGGGAAAGGTGGCATTTGAACTGGAATTTGAACAGTAAGAAAAGGTTAGAGATGAAGATCGGAAAACAGATGTTCCTTGTAAAATTAAAAAACCACAAAAGTTTCAGAGAAAAGAGAGAGAGTCAAACCTTCCCCTTCTTGTGCCCAGGGAGGGTTGTCACCGATGCCTGTTTTCTTCATACTCCTCCATATTCTAATTTTGTTAGTATACGGGAGTCCATGGAGTGAGCCAGAGAGCGCTAGAAGACCAGCTGGCATAGATGTAGAAAGAACATAAGATGAGCTTGGTGGTGCACACCTTGAATCCGAGCACTGGAGAGGCAGAGGGAGGAGGATCTCTGTGAGTTCGAGGCCAGCCTGGTCTACATAGTAAGTTCCAGGCCAGCTAGTGCTGTAGGGAGACCCTGTCTCAAAAAGACCAAAAAAAATATTTTATTTGTTATGGGAGAGAGGGGAGGTGTGCCACAATGCATGGATAGAGGTCAGAAGACAACTTTCAAGAGTCAGTTTTCTTTTTCCATGGTGGGATCTAGGGATTGAATTTAGGTTGTCAGGATGTGTTGTAAATGCTTTTACCTGCTGAACCATCTTGCTGATTCTAAAAAAATTATTTATTTATTTATTTATCTATCTATCTATTTATTTATTTATTTATTTATTTAGGGCTTCATTATATAGCCCTGGTTGGCTTGGAACTCTCAAAATGTAGACCAAGCTAGGTCTATATATGTATTTTACTGACCATGGTGGCACACACCTTTAATCCCAGCTCTTGGGAGGCAAAGGCGGATGGATCTCTGTGAGATAGAGGCCAGCCTGGTCTACATAGTGAGTTCCAGGTCAGCTGGGGCTACAGGGAGACCTTGTCTCAGAAAGTAAAAACAACAAAAACAAACATGCAGTGTCTCCCACCCTTGTTGCAGATTCGGCATGACTGGTGCGCATGACTTACTGGCATAGCATCCCCTCCCATTCTTCTAGGTGACTGGTCCAGGGACTTTGGCTCACTCAGTGTTTACTTCTGGCAGGTGGGCTTCTTCAAACGGAATCTCAAGGAGAAGATGGAGACTGATGGCACTGATGGCGCTGTTCTGAATGGAATCCCTGGAGAAGACCCCCAGCCTCTGGCAGCCTCTAGGGAAGAGGCCAAAGACATGGGCTATCTAGAGCCCCTACAGGGGAATGAGGCCCAGGATAGCAGTGACAAGGACTGAGGCTGAGGCGATGCAGAGGGCGGGCCCCTGTATTCAAGATCTCTGGTGATGATCAGCTTCAGCCTGCATTCTTTGTGTATCCTCATCCTCAGGCTCTCCCTAGGCCTGTTTCCCTGTCTTGAGCAGAGACTTCTTCCTACCTTCCTTACTGAAGGTATACTGTAAGAATCTACTGAAGGATAGGCCAGGAAGTCCAGAGAGGTAACACACCGTAACTGTCAGTGGTCCTGTCTTCTGCTAGCTTGCACTGTGGTCTGTCCCCTGAGACTGACTCTGATCTGCATTTGGAAAAACTGTAGTCTCAGGACCCAGTGACCTCCAGCTCTCCTGTCTGCCCAGATGCCTCAGAGTCCAGAATCTGCCCCGGAGTCTACCCCGGACTCTGTGGCCAGACAGCAAACCCCACCTGTGTCACTGCACTGCTACTGCAGGTGTGGTGTTCTGTAGGGAAAACCAATTTTTTTTTTTTTTTTTTTTTTTTGGTCTTTTTGAGACAGGGTCTTCCTGTAACCCCAGCTGTCCTGGAACTTGCTATGTAGACCAGGCTGGGCTGGAATTTACAGAGATCTGCCTGCCTCTTCTTCCCAAGTGCTGGAATTAAAGGGGTGTGCCATCATGTCCAGCTAAAACTGAAATTTCTTAGCCGGGTGTGGTATCCCACGCCTTTAGTCCCAGCACTCCAGGAGGCAGAGGCAGGCGGATCTTTGTGAGCTCCAGGCCAGCCTGGTCTCCATAGCAAATCCAGGCCAGCTGGGGCTACAGGGAGACTCTGTCTGAAAAAGACAAAAAAAAAAAAGAGGGAAATTTCTTAATAAGCATTTTAAGGCCCTGCAAAATCGGGCCACCGCGGCCTCCCCTGCAGCCTCTTGTATCTAGGCTCCAGTTACTTGGCCTTTCAGGAGTCATGCCCCTCCCTGTGTTGCCGCCGCCGCCGAATTCGCCCACACGCTCTGCTCCTGCCGCGTTCTCCTTTCCCGGCTTACTGCCGCTCAGCCTTCAGTACACTTACACCAGCCTGCACTTGTCTCTTTGATGATTCATTTCTGCCTCTCAGACTGTGAGCTCCATGAGAGTAGGGCATACATACCCTGTTCACCTGGGGATCCCTGGTGACATCACAGGGTAGGCACAGAGTAACCTGACACAGTTTCATTGACTCGATGGTGGAGCCAGTGGTAAGATAGAGAACACTGCATCTTTCAAGGTGCAGCCTTCCCAGCCTCCTCCTACATCCTGGGAAACAGAACTCAAGGTGGAGGCAAGTGTATCCACCTGAAGACCCAGTACCAAACATATGTTTGCATATATTTATCTAATAAATGTAAAATTTTGTCCAATTCTGTGATGGTTTTGTGCTGGTCAACATTCCAGCCTGGTTCATTTAAATGAATGTATTCCTCTCAATATTTTCACCAAGTGGAACCAAAATAATCTGCCCTGCTTCTCTTCCCCATAGTAGTTTTGTTTCTGTCTCTGTGATGAGTGTCCTCACTGAAGCGACTTAAGGGAGAGATGGGTTTATTTTGGCTCACAGCTGCAGAGGGGCTGTAATCCAGCCTGGTGCAGAAGGCTGACCCTTCATGTTGCTTGGGCAGTCTGGAAGCAGTCAGGAAGTAGGGCCAGGATATAGAACCAACCCCGGTGATGTACTTCCTGTAGCAAAGCTCCATCTTCTAAAGGTTCCACAACTGTCCTAAACACCACCACCAGCCTGGGACCAAGTGTCCAAACACCTGAGCCTATGGGGAATGTTTCACGTTCAAATCATAACACCCCTCCCCATAGCCGCACAACTGACAAAATTCCAAACTGAAGCACAGAGAGGGGTGAGAAGAAAAGAGAAGAGAGAGAACAAATGGGAGAAGAGACTAGGGACAGTTTGGCCGTTCCTTGGGAGATGGGAGTAAAGGGGTTGGAGAGACAGCTCAGCTTAAGGGTGTGCTGCTCTTGCAAGCAGACCCAAGTTCATTTCCCAGCATCCATGCTGAGTGGCTCACAACTGCTTGGAACTCCAGTTCCAGAGGGGTCTGTCACCTCTGGCCTCCAAGGGTACCTGTACTTGTCTGCACATACCCACTCCCAACACACATAATTAATAAATTTCTTTTTTTTAAAGATAGGTGTAAAATGTGTTGGGCGTGTGGTACCACTACTAATCCCAGTATTTGGTAGATCAAAGGAGATATGGAGTTCAAGGCCAGCCTGGGCTACATACATCTGTCTCAAAAAAATTAACCAACCAAACTAAAAATGATGGAAAAGTTAGGGGCTGAGGATGCAGCTCAGTAGGACAGCACTTGCTTAGATGCACGAAGCCCTGAGTTCCATCTGTGAACTAAAAAGAAAAAGGGGGGAGTATGGACTCTCATCTTTCATTTAGAGCAGGATTGGAAGCCATAGAGGGAGCCAGTCACTGATGCCCTCGTGTGGTCTGTAGGACCCCCAGGGAATGAAGCCCAGCAGTTGGGAAAAGAGAAAACTTCATCCATATTCATAAAGCAAGGTCTCCCAGGCAGCGGGTGACCTTTGATGGGCCTTTTCTGCCTAGAGCAGAGTACATGAACATTTCTAAGCCTGGCATGGAAGACATAAGACAGTCATTCAAAACCTGCCAGCCTCTCCAGCCCCAACCAGCCTTTCACTTGGTTTGGCTTTGAGGAACCATGGGAAGGGGTCACAAGTAAAACACAAGTAGGCAAGACAGGAAATTTTTTTCCAGAGAGGGAAGACAATGTTTTGTGTATTTTAAATTACATTTAAATACACAACTTTCAGGAATGGTTCTGTCTACTGGGTGAGGTTTGAATTCAGGTGGTTAGATTTGGTAGCAAATACCTTCACCCGCTGAGCTATCCTTTCAGCCTGTCGCATTGTTGGTTTTGAGACAGGAGGTAGTCGTGTTGCCTAGGCTGCTCAAGTGATCCTCCTGCTTCAGTGTCCTGGTCAGCTGACCACACCTGGCTTCATCTTTTTTCTGTCCCAGAGACATCATTCTCTTAAGGCCCTTTGAGATTGTCCTCACCTCTATAATTCCAGCAGCTGTCCACCTCCTGCGGGCCATCCTGCTGATTCTGGACAGGATCCCTCTTCTGTTAGGTCCTGAAAGGATGCAGCAGTCCTCACCCATACGTTACCAACAACTTGGCCCTCCCCAGGATTGCTTCAAAGGGGTCATTCAGTTAGTGGCCCTCAAAGGTTTTGATCTTAGGAAGTTAAAAATAAAAATAAAATATATAACTAATAAATGAAAGTAGTAATATTGCACACAGTTATCATGGGACTCTGAGAGCCACCATCTCATTATCCAGCATTTGGAAAAGGGCACAGAATATGAATTCATCCTTGGTCCAACCAAGTAATCTACCAGGCCCAGTGGGAAGGCTTACCTGATTGGTAAATGCAACTTTGTCTAGCTCTCTGGCCACTGCTTAGTCTGGAAGCTTTATTTTTTTAATATTTTATTTTTATTTTATGTGTATGTGTGTATTGCCTGCATGTATATAAGTGCACCTGTATGGTACAGTGCCGAAGGAGGTCAGAGGAGGGCATCAGATCCCCTGGAACTGGAGTCACAGACAGCTGTTAGCCACCATATAGATGCTGGGAACCGAATCCTGTTCTTCTGCAAGAGCAGCCAGTGCTTTTAACCACTGAGCCATCTCTCCAGCCCCAGGCCAGAAGCTTTATATAAAGCCTTTATAGGGGTTACTTTTATTGTGCTGTAGACTCTGAACCAATTTGGTACCTACCTTAGCAAAGCCTCTGTCCTGTGTTTTATTTCACTGCACACATGTATCTGCACCTGTTCTATATCTTGCTGGTTACTTCACTAATGAGTTAAGTAAAATACTTCATGCATGCTCAAAAAAAAAAAAAAAAAAAACAACCAAATAAACTTAAGGGTTTTTTTTTTTTTTTTTTTTTTTTTTACTAAACTTAAGGAGTTTTATTGTTCCACGGCTGCTTTCAGTGAGGCTGGTGTCACTCGGCCACCTCCAAGAGGTTTCAGACGCTCCTGAAGCTTTGGCAACATAAAGGGATGATATTCAGGTTGCTCAGAGACCTCAGCAAGCTGCCCAGTGGCTCTACACCGAGTTCCTGAAGGGTCTGAAAGCACCTGGAGGCCTGGATAGTGGGTGGGGTGTTTAGTAAGGACAGTAAACACATCCTGCATGTCCAGTGTGTGGTCCACATCCTGCTTCCTGGGACTCGGTGGCACCCTGAAGGCAAAGCTGAGATCTTGATATTCCGGCTGCCTTATTACCAACAGGATACATCCAAGATGATCATAAGCTTGGCTGACCCTTTCCACAAGCACAAGATGCAAGGTTCATAGAAGGACCTTGCTCAGGAGGCTGAGATACGAGGTTTTAATCAACATTTTAAAGGCCCAGTTCAGAAGTTTCCTAAGGTTGTTCTTGAGATGAGGACCCTGAGTTCTCCAGTGGAGGTCCATGAGATTGGAACACAGCAGTCCTTTGACCTGGTCCAGGATGCCAGGACTCAGCCTCCAGGTATTGCCTGGGAACCAGTTACCAGTGTTAGGGTTTGGATCTACAGCAACTCCCTCACCAATGCAGCAGGGCCCCTGAGAATGCAGGAACTAAGTTAATGAGCACCCTGATCTTGGAAGACAAGATAAACAGACTCCACCTTTTGACCAGAGACCCTATTACTGAAAGGATGCACTCCAGCACAGCATGTGTCCTCTTTGATGATCTTAAAGGATAAACGGACTCTTTACACCTTTGACCCAGATCCTGGCTGATGGAAGAGGATGGAAGGGGGAGGCTTGACCGAGGCTACTCTCTCCTGATAAGCCCTGGGCATGCGCACGTGCTGCCCCCCACCCCCTTCTGCATCCCCAAAGCCAACAACCTGGGGAGGAACAGCTTCTCTATCACAAAGGGAACTGTCCCATGTGCTTTTTCCTCTGCTAATAAGTTCTATCCCACCGGAGTTTTGTCTGTGTCCTGATGCTTTCTCCCAATTTGACCCAATTTACCTGTTATATGGTGCTGAAACATGGGAAGAGGAATGACTGGGTTACTTATGACCCAATTCCCTCTTACTGAACCATGCTGCTGACCATGCACTCCTGCTTGCCCATGCCGGCTCCCACCACTTACCACATCAGGCCGAGATTATGAGTCCATCTGCTTTCCTCACCCTCTGACAGAATTTGGGTAAATGCTCTCTCATAAAGCTATGGATCTCTCTCCTCTCTCCTCTCTCTCTCTCTCTCTCTCTCTCTCTCTCTCTCTCTCTCTCTCTGCCTTTCCTCTCTTACTGGATTGTACTTTGTCTTGCTTTCATTTCTTTCCTTATCATCTATGTCTTCTTTTGATCCCCTTTCAGTTGGATTTGGAGGTCACTCTCCTTAAGCCTCAGGCTCTCTCTCCCTCACCCTCCCTTTCCTTAACTCCTAACATGTCCTCTTTCTTCAGCTTCCACTGACTCTCTCTCTCTCT